TATCCTGACACCCTAATGACGAATTCCCTCCCAAATTATTACGCAATACAATGCATTTTTGAGTTGTGTTTGCCACAAGATATGTCAACTAACCCACATCCCAATTGAATTAGCAGACACCATTGGAGATACCCTTGTGTTTGGAGACTTACTTCACTACCACTGCATTGGTCGATGTGCTATTCCGGTGCCTCTATATAATGCAGATCTGCTAAGCAATATGCTGTGGTAGGCGCTACCGACGCGGATCCATTTAGCCGTGAATTACACTGGCTGGCAAAGTGATCCATATGTTTGATTTAGGCTCAACTTCTAATTTAGTGCTTTGTCTTGAGAAAACTAATGCAAGAGTAGAGCGAGCTCAGTAGGTATTGTGACTTTACGGCAGGATATCGACGCCACTAAATGGAGTTCAGTAGGCCTTATTGTGAAATCGAATGTGCTTGTTGTCTAAAATTTCGAATGCTCTGTTGATACCACACCATCAGTTGTCAATACCTCCAACTCCTTAACTCGTTCAAATTCACATAACCCAACATGACTGAGCAGATTTGTATCATTCAGTAAAGAAAAAAATCTCTAATAATTGACTTGTAAGTAGTCTACAAGTCTGGTCAGTTCAAAGCTGATTCAAAGTTTCGTTAATATGAAAACATCCAGCTATTCTTCCACCTATCTATTTGAAACAGTCAGGAAGAGATTCGCAGACAGCCCCTAATTTTGAAAATTTTTTGACCTCGCCTACATTAGTTTCCGTCTTATTCCAAATCCAATATATTTACTCGCTTCCTTACCCACCTTCCCTGATCCACATCGATCATTCTATCCACAGATCTGTACTACCAACTGTCACCTATTCTGGCATTGACCGCGATAAAACTACTTTTCCTTACTGGCACTTCTCAAGGGATCACCTCAGCTCTGTTTAAATGATACAAGGAAAATTGAAAAGTAAGGAGGTATTCTTCAGATTGTTCAAATGTACCAAGGAAAGACATGTTATGATAATGATCGTGTTATGCATAACTAAAGATAAGACATCAATCGTAATTTTCTAAACTACGCAGATAGATGGAAGAAGTCAGTTTTTGTCGAACATCACCTTGGTGTGAGTAATGCTTCTCTTAGCGTTAGCATTCTACGATTTCCCTTACTTAACCACTGCTCAACATGCAGAGTGCGTGTTCTCTTTTTAACGGAATTCGGCTTGCTGTGGAAGGTGCAGTGATAGAGGCAACCGGATTAAAATACATTTGATAAGGATGCGATATGGACTAATAATATGAATAATTACCCTTTTCTTCCTCTCCTCCTTTTTTCCTTTG